TTGGCTGTTCTTGTTTTCTTTTCTTTTTTTTTAAGTTTTATTTTTGTACATGGTCTCATGTTTTTAAAATCTGACAAGTCACTGTACCTCATGTAGATGCTGAATATTTCTTCCTGCTTATTGGAACGGAGCAGTATTGGACCTTTGACAGAAAGAAGCACCTAATTTGCTCAATATCTAGTTAGTTTCTTCCCTTGAATATTTAAAGAGCCAATTGAAATAAAAAGCTATAGTTATTAGACTTTATAATAGAGGAGTTATTACAAGTAAGGTACTCATTTAAACAACAAGCACTTGACGTAAAAATAATAATCTAATATTTTTCCTTCAATCATGATACAGTGCTATGTTGGTCAGTCTTGTGTTTTCTTTATTACAACACTCATATGGCAAATTTCTTATGAGTAGCTGCATCTTAAAATTGTGTGCATGCATTTGGCTGCATTTACATAATCATAACAAAATAATATGTGACTGTTTCAAACACAAATTATGTTAAAATGTTTTCTTATTATTTTAAAAGGTGGGAGCGTGCAAATATTTATTTAGTTTTATTGTGTCAAAAAACAACAGAGCAGTTTTCTTGGTTAATTCTCTCCTTGCCATCTTTTTTAATGAACATGTTCATGACTATCCAGCCATCTGCAAATGTAGCCCTCACAATTGTTTTCTCTTAATCCTCTTTTTAGACAAATGCAAATGTTTGAATGGACGTCTGAAGACAAAAGCTTGTATACTGTTTCAACATTACTTACTGTAATTTGATTTTTTTTTTCTGTCTGAACTTTGTGATGTATATGGTGGGAATGTTCTCTGTGTTAATTTAATCAGCACAATTCACTGACATGCTGGACTGACATGCTAGCTGCTGTTCAGAAGTGTAAAATTTGTTGTTCTGGGCAATATTTATGGTTGTCTCTGGTACTTTGCTTTTTAGAGTTGTCTCTCAAGCAACACTGTGTGTGGCTCTTCAATCACTGGAGCCACTGAAATTGCTGGCAGCCTGATACAATTACAATTTCTGCGTAGAAATCTTTTTTTTGTTCCCTTCCTGGCAGGTACCTAGGCCCATGGCAAGTATTGTTTGGGTGTTATTAGAGAAAATGAAATACATAGTGTCTGTTGCTGCTTTAAAAAAGTTTATGTCTGAATATGTAAATAGTTTATCATAATATCTTGTACAGTCCAATGTAAAGTTTTTAATTCAACTTAAAAATAATGTTGCCATCACATTTGTGTTCACATTCTTCTTTATACAGTACAAAAGATCAAATATTTGCTCGGGGTATTATTGCTAAAATGAAAAAAAAAAAGAGATTTTTTTTTATGTTTGTTTTGCTTGGCTTCAAAGTGTACACCAGCAAGTCTTTGGTTTCCATGTGCAGTATTGACGTGAGGTAAACTTAAGGTGAATAATTTTACAGTGGTGTGTGTGGAGAGCGATCTCCTCAGCTTTGGTAGTATTAATACTCTATATCAAGAACAAACAAAACCAATGAGTGACATATTTGGGTACATCTGGGCACCACAGGAATGTGGAGACTGTACATGATTCAATTATCCCCACAGGATCGATTCAGGCATATTATAATGTAACACCATTTTCTGTATGGCTCAGTCCATTGTAACGATGAAACACTGAGCTGAGGAACTGCCTGTTTAAAGCTCATTTACCTCAAGAATTTCCTCCTTTTCTGTAAAAGAGACAGAAATTGTGTTACATAAAGCTTCTCACATCACTCCATCTTTTGTACTGCTGTTGACACTTACAAATTAAAGAGACATTTTGTTTTAAGCTTTGAGTAGTTCTTTTTAAAGTGGAGGCATTTGTTATTTCTACCTGTTAAGGTTTTGTGAGAAAACAGAGGGGTTGTTCGGTGCAAATTAAATTGTACTGACTTATTTAAGAAATGTTTACCAATCAGACACAAAGACAAAAAGCAACACTCACATGAGAATATATGGTTTGTTATACTTCCCTTCACCCAGCTTTTTATCCAAAACACAGGATGACCTTCACTCTCTCAACCAAATTATTTTAACAGCTCATAATAACTAAGAACAATCAGTTGTTGCTGACATGATTCATTGTAATTATTGTCACTGAACTCATATTAAAATGATAGAAAATACGGCTGAGAAAACATGTTATGAATATAAACTATCAATGGCTTAATTGTTTTTACACAAATAGTTGAATTCTTTATTTGCAAATAAATTTCAAGGAATCAAAAAGAATTAACTTCAAAAGCAACTGAAAGCTTAATATTTTGCATCTTTACTACAATCTTGATCCGTCAATATGATTAAAATAAAATAGTGCTACTATTACTGTTACATTGTTGTGAAAACTTGTGATCAATGAATAGTTGATTATACTAAAGATTATTGATATATTTACAAGCCAGTCATATCTAGAAGTATGAACATTTGTAGTTGTCTTTAAGCAAACAAACAGTGAAATATTATATTGTATCAATTTATACAAGGTTAGTGTTACTGTGTAAAATTATATTTATATGTAATGGAAATACTTACTGTGCGTGAATATCAATAATTCGCTTTTTAAGGTTTTGTGTTTTCTATAGTTTATCATTATATCCAAACACCATAGTGCAAATTGTACTGGAGGGTTTCTCGTCATCGAAAAGATGGAGACAACCTGGATGAGACATGAGGACATGTATGTATGCAATAGTAGGCATGTGCATGTATGAACTGAAATGTGCACGTCTGCTGTTCATGAGTGTACATCCACCAATCGTCCCTCTCCATTCAGTGGACATTTCAGATGTAAATGGAGTACAACTTTCTTCCAAGACAAAGAGAAATTAGCATGTTGATGCTGATTGGAAACTAATTGCTCCAGTATACATCTATACAATCTACCTGGGCTCCACACATGACGTCACACTTTGGACTGTTTCTTCCTCATGAATCCTTTTTGTTGCAAGTTTCCAGCAGATGGTGTCGAAACAGGTGTCAGTGCTTATGAAAACAGAAAACAATGAGAGTGAATTTTGGGAACAGCAATCAGGCAACCTTGCATTTTTTTCTCCTCTGCCAAGTTTGATGACAGCAAATCACAGCATAGTTAAGTTGACTTGCTGAGTTACAGTGTATCTCTGTCTTTGTACATCACCAGTACATCTGTTTGTCTGTGTCCTGCTTGTTTACAATCCACACCCAGACCTGTTCTGTGACTTTGTGCCAGACAAAAATGTCATTCACAACTATTTATCACATTTGATATCACCATCTGGCAATGCTCTGTATAGACTGCAGCAGAGAAAAGATAACTGCAGCACACATGTCCATGTGCACATGCACCAAGTTAAACCAGCAGCAACCTCTGTGTAAACCAGTCCAGACACTGGTTTGATGGCACTGCTCGTAGGCCCAATAACTTCAAAACAAGACACTGATTGTCCAATCTATTAATCGCAGTTTCATTACAACTCTGCAGCTGAAAAGCAATAGACTGACACTGACTATCGATTAAATATTGAATTTAAAATGTTGATTAGCTGGGTGTACTTGGAAGGATATTTACCCATCAGTACATAATAACTCTCAAATATTCAGCAAAGCCATAAAATCAAACAGCATTTTATGTTTACACCATACAGCCAAAGCTAATTCTATATGTTGAGAGCTTTATGTTATAGATAACGTTTGCATACTTTAAGATTCTATTGAAAACACCAATTCATACGAATTATTAACAACATTTAACATACATATTGTCTGTTTATATCATATTCTGTTCTATTATTCTTAGACTGACAGATGGAGCAAAGACGGGGGGATTGTTGTGGGCGTCAGGTGTGACAGTACAGGAAACACCTGTGAGAGCCTACATTTACACACGGAAACATTGAGGAAATCTATACACAATGAGAAAGATAAGCAGAAAAAATATCTTGCTTTTTCTGATCCCCAAATGATACAATGCGCATACATGTGCTCAAACACAAAAAAGACACACAACGTTGTACTGCTGGCACAGCCTCAAAGGTTTTTAGTCAATTGAATCTGGAAAATGTGGTTTTGCCTTGAAATACGACTAACCTGTCCACTCAGCAACCGATTACCATGGTTTTGTTTCAAGAATAGTCTGCACAAACACATACCCTGCAGATCCTTGACCTCCTGAAAGAACATATTACGGGATAAAGGCGCTGTGTGTGTTAATGTACGTATGTGCACGTGTGTGCCAGAGCCAGAGGTCATCTTGAGAGTTGTAAGCCCAGACTATGTCCATCACTCTTCTCTGGATCTCTGCCATCTATTGCTCATTATCATCATAATTATAATGTGTTCTACACCCTGCTTCCTTTTTAAATGATGTCCTGCTTGATGCAAGCGATAAAACATTTCAAATAAATTCTGGGTCAGTGTTATTACAACTCAACACACACTTTGCTGATTTAAAGTTCATCTAGCTCTGTGTTCGCAACAGAAGAGAAAAAAAAAAACTCCCTGGAACTCAAGTCATTTTGACCATTTGGGGAAACTGTTTCATTTGTTGTTTCAATCAATCACTTTGTCTTTTATCATTGTACTGTTTGCTGCCTTCCCAAGAGCATATGAAAGCCACAGTTTAACTGCAGCGTCTGTAATAGATGTCTGTGTAAGCACTCTCCAGCAGTAGATGGAAAACTAGACGTACACCTCTGCACAATAAATCTCATAGTAATTTTCCAAGCATGCATGACAACTAATAGCATGGAGAAAAGCTCTGTGTTTTGTGTATTTGTCTTTACATTATTGTGCGGGTGAGTGTGCCACATTACAGCCTTGCTGAGTTGGTGATATTTTAATCCTGATCGTGGGACATTTTTTTAAATCTTTGAGCTGTTTTTGCTTTGCATTGTACCCGTAGAGTTGCATGTCAACCGAATTAGAGGTTGGGGGGAATAATTGGGGACCCGGTGAGCTGTGGGGAGTAATCCTGCAGTTTGTAAGTGGCCTGTTTGGATGAACTGTCAACGTTGTACAAAGATGTGTATATTTGAGAGACTCATAATAATTAATACTGCAATGCTGTCATGTAGCGGCGGGGCTGCTATTTCACAATCCTGATGACTAAACACCGGAGGGAAGGGGAGCAGCGAGGGGCTTCTGGAACAATATTTTACTCATTTGGATCTGCTCAATGCTACAGCCGTTGCACACAGTGAATCTGTCAGACAACACCATTTCCCCAAGAACAGCTGCTATTTATCTGATTTTCTCATTAGAGTTGACTCATGACTTTATTGTACTGGCTTTGGCAGAGGCGCTACCGTGCCTAGGTATGGCTCTTTGAAACAGCCAATGTAACTGGATGTAAAAACATGTAACACTTGTCTAAATTCTTGTATTTATTTATTTATTTATGTATTTATCCTTACTTAAAATTATGTTAATTGTTTTTATTAATATGTTTCCAGACTTGCAGAAACACTCAGGCAGATGTTTGCCATTCCTAACATGCATGGAGCTTTCATCTTATTTCTATCTATGTCCAGCACAGGTGAAAGAAAGGAAGCTGGGAGAGATCCCAAGAGTCATCAAACATGTATACAAGAACAGTATGTAAGAACAGCCCAGACCCTTAGCAATGCTTTAATCCTTGGAGGTGAAGGACTTAGGAAATCTTGCTAATTTCACAGATGGTTTAAAATAGATTAGTGTGGGGTAGCAGCTCCCGGAGAAGGGCTGACCCACCAGGCTCCCTGTGCAGCTGCCAAAACCCTGCGCCTGATGCTCAGAAGTGCCCTCCAGAAGTCCTGCAAGGTTAAACTCAAACTTAAGCATCCTGAAACACAATTCTCGTTAGATTTACCGCATCTTTAAGGGACTTCATCTATATTCAGTGAATACACTTTTTCTTCACATTTTGGCCTGCATTTTGGTTTTGTGTGTTAAAGCATCATTGTTCTCTCCCTTTTTTACATTTTAAATGTAAGTGTCTACTCTGTGGCCTAGAAATCTGTGGCCTTTCTTAGTATTCCTTCTCAGCTTAAACAATAACCTAGTGGACAAAGGGTTTCACTTTGACATCAATGTGTCCACTTGGCCACAGACACCATTCTCACTTGCTTCTTTGTGTTCCCTCTCATTGGACATTTTGTACAATACACCCAAGAGCTATTTTTTTGTAATTGAATAAAGGAGTGAATCAGACTCTGCGTGGCATTTTAAATAGGCCAAGCCTGCTGATTGTGCTGGGCTGTGTCCGAGTAGGCCTGACACAACTCTGGCCAGGCTGAAAAGGCCCAGCTTGGAGTTAATGTGCAGAGACAATGGCAGAGGGTGAAAAACTCAACATGGTTTTGTTGGACTTGTCATTCTTTGGTGCATAGCTGTGAGGAAAGCCTAGGAACCATGTGAATGTTATTTGTGCTTTTTTTGACCCATATTTGGGACAGCTTTCACAAAGCCCCTTGAAACAATGGAGAGGGGCTTTCAGAAGAGGGACAGGCCTCGACTCCAGCCAAATCATCTTGGACCTGCTTCACTGAAATGGTCTGTCTCCAAAAAGCTCACATCATGGCACAGCTATTGGAAGATTTTAACTAGAAAGTAAACAATGATGAGTAATTTCAATAATTTCATTTTTCATTTACAAATCAAAGATTTTAGATTCAATTCAAAGCCAAAGAGAAATAACAAGAGGGAACATGACTGTGTGTTAACAAAGAAAACTGAAAGTATCATTTATGTTTTACATTTTAAATACAATGTGAAAATGCTAAGTATTAGATCTATCTTTATTTTTTAAAACATGTAAATGTATGTGCTATTTTGTCTTGAGTGCATTGCATATATTCTTGCTGAACTAAGATGATCCTGAAAACCCATTTCTATCTATGTAAATCAATCAGATTTTCTGAGCACAGTTGTTAGGAACACTGGGTTTCTAAATGAACTTTTGAAAATCCACATGGGACAATATTTCAGAAAATGTAATTTTGCATACTGTTTCACATCATTGCTTCTCCTCAGTGCATTTGTCTCCCAAAGCATTTGACTACATTTCTGTGGGGAGGAATAAATGTGTAATATTTTTTAAAAGCGTCTGTGCTCCCTCAGCTTTGAGAGAATAACACATATTGCAAGAAAGAAACCTTTATTTTTGTTAAATTCATGAAAAAGCTATCACTCAGCTCTCTCATGCATATGTGAATTACACACCTTTATGAATATGTAAATGTTGCGAGAATGCCTCATTAATTAGTAATTCATGCATTTTTCACAAGCCCAATACTTTGCCAGTGTAGTCTGATGAATTATCAGCCAGAAGTTAAAAAAGGGGGTTCATCATCACATTTTCAGAGGTTTTTAGCTACATCTGTAATTTGTGTAATTCAATGAATATGATTTGCAAAGCTTTTTATTGCGATATCGTTGCAGCTGTCTTGTGATATGATCTATAGATTTATACCTCTAAAATCCAAGTGCACTTTTAATATTGAAAGGGATACTTCACTATGTAAATGTTTGCTTACATTCTAATAGTCTGCTTTAAAAAATAAACTGCAAGCGTCTCAAAGATTTTTCTTAGATATGTCCCTTATGCCACAATCACTTGGTTTTGATTATTTTGGAGTAGACATGAAGAAAAATGACGTGAAGTCAAAACAACAACTCAGCACATACTGATGTCAAATTCAACAACCCTCAAAGATGCACCTTGTTCATGTTTTGTATCTCTTTCTTCCTCATTGAAAACATTCAAATCATTTTGGTAAAATTTCTAATTAGAAAATTTAAGCGTAAACAAGTTAGCAAAAGACGTCAGG